GAGTACAGTTTTCAGAAGTCGAAAAAACGGCTTAACAAAACCTCACGGCTCACAAATCTCTCACAAAACGAAAATCTCTCTGTCAATGAAAAAACCTAGCCGCAGTATAAATAATGCTTCCCAAAAAATTTTCTCGGGGCCTACGCCCCCGAACCCCCTGAAATATTTGTTCGCTTACTCCAGCTTAAGCAGTCTACCATAAAGATTTGTTCGCTTGCTCTGAGTTAGGCCTATCAGCCCAACCCTCCGCGTTACGAACTAAATCTTAATTTTTTTTCCACTTTTGGATCGCACAAAAAATATATCGGGTTGAGTGATGAACCGGATCGAGTACATAAAATTCAGGACATATTTAACAAACAACATTAATACAATTTTTAATCCTTGAGTAATGATTAGTTAGTGAATAAATGTTTGGTTTTTATTTTGGTTTGGATGCGATAAAATATGTGTTAAAATTATAGTATTCTCAAACTGAGACCAATCTAGAAGTCCGCGTTCTTTATCGTGTGATGGAGACTACCTCGATACGTGTGAACGAAGCTTTTACGCACATCCCTATGGATTAATTTAGTCAAAGTGAAAGTTGGATTGTCTAGCGATACCCAGAAAATGTATGAATAGAGCTCCTGACGCTGAGATGAAAATAAGAACTTAATGGAGATGCTGATGTAACAACTCTAGGAGTTGCCATCAGTAACGTTGGGCTTGGACCTCTCTCTGTCATTCATTAACGGAGTAGTAATAGGAAACCCAATCAAATGCCACGGGTCTATGAGAAAATAGTTAAAGAAGAAAGTCAGTAATATATCTCGACGAAGACCATAAAGTCAAGTGCTCCTGGTACTCATCTTCCAGTTCCTGCTAACTTCCTGTGTCTGAGCTAGCTATAGTTGCTATGCTTCGTCGATCGATATCTCTCTCTTCTCCTGGTATGGTTGAAAAATATGCTTTCGGTCGTAATTAAACAGAGTAAGTTTACATATCAAAGGTCCAACGCCATGCATGAAAAGAAGAAGAATGGCCCTCCTTTTCTAAAAGTTGAGATTAGTATATTGCTCCCTGGAAGACCCAAAAGCAAAGTGCTGGTAGTCGATGAGAATGAGCAAATTGATATATGGCCGACCAAAAACAGTAGAGCGGGTTGACAAAGGGTCCGTTTGGTTCAACTTTGAAAATGCTACTTGGGGGAATGCAAATATCTTTGGGTGAAAGCCCATTGGGGAAATGCAAATGTTGTTTGGTAAAAATATTTTGTAAAGCTACTTTGGCCAAAATATAGTGTTTGGTGAATTATTTTTGCAAATTGACTTTGGGAATAAAAAACCTAACTTACCCTTCGCCGGAGCCGGCGCTGGCCGCCGGCGAGCCAGATCTGGCGTCGGCGGCCGTCGCCCGAGGTCGGGCGACTGCAGGCGGGCCAGATCTGGGGCCGGCGGCCGTCGCCCGAGGCCGGGTGACCCTCGGCGAGGGCTGCAAGACCCAAGCGGCCGCCTGGGTCGTGCGACCTCTCGGCGGCCGTCGCTGGGTCCCGTGACCCTCGCCGAGGGTCGCCGCCTGGGCGACGGCCGCCGGCCTCTTGCCGGCCCGTTCCGGCGCCGGCCGCCTCGCCGGCCTCCCTTGCCGGCCACCTCACGAAGAAGAAGATGAACAGTACACACGAGGGGCAAAATCGGAATAAGCAAAAATAACTAAGGGTAGTTTGGGGATAAAAAATTTGGGTTCAGCATTTCAAATGCTAGCATTTGGCAAATGCTGATCCAAATGCTGAACCAAACGGTTCAGCACGGTTCAACATTTGGCCAAGGGGCTTTCGAGGCCGAAAGCCCCTTCCAAATTCTGAACTAAACGGGCCCAAAAGGCCCCACATTACGTTGACTGCGCTGCACGGGCAATGGCTTTTCCTCAACAGTCAACACTAATCATTTAATTAATCTCTGTAGTTTTATGTTTTGGTCCAGTTATATTTTCCTTGTGTTTGAATCATGAGATCTACTTATCCTCTAATCTTGGAGAAGCAAAAATCAAGTTAAAAAAGAAAAAAACAATTCGTATTGAGACAATTTGAGCTAACATTTCTCTTTGCTTGTCGACTGATGAACATCAGGTTACAAATTGCATATGCTCACGTGGGTATCTGACATTGTAAGTATGAAAGTCGGGGTGGCTTTTTGGTAAGTATCGATAAAACTCCAAAGAGGGATGATCAACTCTGAGGACTCTGCTTTGCCGCTGCTCGGATGTAGCTTTGTCTCCAACTCGTCCGTGCTACAGTTGTTGGGACTCTAGGCTTCACAATGATCTCCTGGTTGATCTTAATGGACCCCTAATCATCTCAACCTTGACACTTTTGAGTGGTTCAAAAACAAGGATTAAAACTAAAACAAATAACCAAACAAAAACTAAAACTAACATGTTAAAATTACCATTGGTGACAGAGAACTAGCAATTTCCAACACGAATTAACACGTCCATGGACAATTAGATGGCCAACCCGAATGAAGAAATAGGATGGGCTTAATCTGATTATGTATGGTAGGTGATGGATTTAAGTTGAGTTTTATGGGTTTGTCATGATTTTGGTAGATTTGGGCTTGGCTTTGTTTAGATAAGAGTTTGAGCTGGCTTTGAGCTTTAATGAATTATTTTACTTCAACTGAGAGGGCATGATATAGTAAGCCCCATAATCTTTGCCCGTGGCCCAGGTCCCTTGACCTATACCAAGTCCTCACATGCGGACTGGTCCCAAGGGCCCAGCCCGAGTTCCCATTTTAGGAATTAATTTTTTTTAAATTAATTAAGTAAAAAATAAAAAAAATCAAACAATTGAAATAAAAAATTGAAAAATGCTTAGAAAAGAGACTTTCTTTAGGCTGTCAAGTTTTAGAGCTAGATTTAGCTTGAGTATGTTCGTTTCGCGGAAAATAAGTAATTTAGAAAATATTTTCCGAAAAGTGATCGTTTATATTGTTTAGAAAAATATATGAATGGAAATTTTTTCATTGCCCATGAAAATAGTTAGGCATAAATTGTTATCAATAATGAAAATATTTTCCGTTGACTAGTTTTTCTAAACGACATAAGTGATCACTTGTCGGAAAATATTTTTCAAATCACTCATTTTCCACGAAAGGAACGCACCTAGTCTCATTTAGTTAGCATACATATAGTTTAGAGATTTTAATGAGTGCCTTCAATATACTTTAGTTTTAGTATAATGATCTTTTGGACGAGAAATTGGATTCAATTTGAATTTAGCTCGTGAGGGTTGCTATCCTGGGCTTAATAACAAAATCATGTGTATTATTTGTTTGATACTTTATTGGATTTACTTTCTTACACTTTACATTTATCATATTGATTGTGATTATTTACTTTTCCTTAAATGTGCACTCATGCATGAATATCATCTAGTGACATTGGTTAACAAAATGGTCAAAGACCGCGTAGACACTTAGCAAACTAATCAAGTTTAGGTACCAAATGACACTAGTTAGATAATCAGTGTAATCAAGTCCACGATTTCAATTTCTGGTTGTGTATAAGTGAGGTATCCTCTTATGCCTCACTTGGCTCCCAACCTACCTTAATAGGCTAGTGGCAACTCTTAGTTAAGTTGACTTCATAGATAGATCAATTTCAATCGTAATTTCTTAATGTTGCGCGAGGTAAGGGTTTGGGAGAATCCGCGCCGATGGAGGATCATTGGTTCGCAACTCGACATTACATCTAATCCGTCATCTCCCTGCCTGTCGGGAGGGTTGCGACAATACTTCTCTCTCATTGTGACATGACACGTTGGATCTTTAATAGTCACTACAAAAAAACCGGATTTTTGCCACGAAAATTTGCCAACGAAAAAATTTTCGTGGCAAATTTGCGACAAATTTTCCAACGAAAAGTAAAATTCGTTGGAAATTTCCAACGAAAAATTTTTCGTCGCAAAATTCGTTGAAAATTTCCAACGAAACACCTTTCGTTGCAAAATTCGTTGGAAATTTCCAACAAAAAATCTTTAAATCGCAAAATTCGTTGGTAATTACCAACGAAAAATTTTTCGTTGGAAATTTCCAACAATTTTGCGACAATTCAAAAAACCCGGTATTAGTCGGCATTTTTATATTCGTTGAAAAATTCGTTGGAAATTTAGCCACGAGTTTAGCCACGAGTTTGTAATTTTCCAACGAAGTTTGTAATTCAAAAATTTTGTAATTTTTCCAACGAATTTAGCCACGAGTTTTCCAATGAAAAATTTTGTCAGAAACTTCGTTGGAAATTTCCAACGAATTTTGCGACGAATTTCAATTTTCCGGGAATTTTTTCAGTGTGTACTATTTTCGGTGGAAAATTCGTTGGAAATTTCCAACGAATTCAAAAAAAAAATCGGTCTTGTTCGGCATTTTTTATATTCGTTGGAAAATTCGTTGGAAATTTCCAACGAATTTTCCAACGAATTTCAATTTTCCGGGGAATTTTTTTTAGTGTGTACTATTTTCGTTGGAAAATTCGTTGGAAATTTCCAACGAAATTTGCAACGAATTCAAAAAAAATCGGTCTTGTTCGGCATTTTTTATATTCGTTGGAAAATTCGTTGGAAATTTCCAACGAATTTCCAACTAATTTCAATTTTCCGGGGAATTTTTTCAGTGTGTATTATTTTCGTTGGAAAATTCGTTGGAAATTTCCAACGAATTCAAAAAAAATCGGTCTTGTTCGGCATTTTTTATATTCGTTGGAAAATTCGTTGGACACACTGAAAAAATTCCCCGGAAAATTGAAATTCGTTGGAAAATTCGTTGGAAATTACTGAAAAAATTCCCCGGAAAATTGAAATTCGTTGGAAAATTTTCCAACGAATTTCAATTTTCCGGGGAATTTTTTCAGTGTGTACTATTTTCGTTGGAAAATTCGTTAGAAATTTCCAACGAATTTTCCAACGAAAATTATACACACTGAAAAATTAGTAATATTAGCGAGATTTTGAATTTGAATCTCGTGACAGAGACTCTCTCTCTCCTCTCTCTTCTATCGTCGCATCCCTCACCTTCTTCACCACACACAAGTACACACGCGAGAGAGAGAAGCGACGAAGCGAGAGAGAGAGCAGAGCCGAGGGAAGATGGCGACCCTCACGCGGGGCATCCTCCCGAAGCTCCTCCAGTCCATGAACTCCTCCAACGCCCGCGTCGCCGGCGACCACCGCTCCGCCCTCCTCCAGGTCGTCGGCATTGTCCCCGCCCTCGCCGCCCCCAATGATCTCTGGCCCAACCACGGCTTCTTCCTCCACCTCTCCGACTCCCTCCACTCCACCTACGTCTCCCTCTCCGACCGCGACGCCGACCTCATCCTCTCCAACCGCCTCCAGCTCGGCCACTTCGTCCACCTCGACCGCCTCCTCCTCGCCCCGACTCCCCGTCCCCGCGCCTCCGGCCTCCGCCCCCTCCCGGCCGCCACCCCTTCCTCGGCTCCCCGAACCCCTCGTCGCCCGCCTCTCCCCCTCCTTTTCTCGACCGCCTCCTCGTCGCCGGTTCGCGACGACGGTGGGCCTCGCCGGCGACGAGCTCGAGCTCGCCCGGATGCGGGCTAGCTCGGCCCTCGCCGGCGATGAGGCTGGCCCTCACCGGCCATGGCGAGGGCGATTTTTCGAAAAAAAAAAAAATTTCGTTGGAAAAAAAATTTCCACGATTTTTCGACCAAAAAAAATTGTAATTTTTCCAACGAAAAATTTTTCGTTGGAAAAAAAATTTCCACGATTTTTCGACCAAAAAAAAAATTATAATTTTTCCAACGAAAAATTTTTCGTTGGAAAAAAAATTTCCACGATTTTCGACCAAAAAAAAAATTTTGTAATTTTTCCAACGAATTTACCCACGAGTTTTCCAACGAATTTTCCAACGAAATAAAATTCATCGCAAATTTCCAACGAAAATTGTAATTTTTCGTTGGAAAAATTTCCGACGACCTATTACCAACGAATTTTTTGTCGTTGGAAAATTCGTTGGAAATTCGTTTTCCAACGAATTTTTCCAAACTTTTCGTTGGAAATTTCGTCGGAAAAAATCAGTTTTTTTGTAGTGAGTGTTATCAGACGCAAACTTAATGGGGCCAAATATAAGACCTGACTATACCAATCTTAATATAAAAAAATTTCAAAATGCGATGCATTTTCTCTTCCTTGTCTTATACCGAGTCCATTTCAAGCAGTGTGATTGGGAATAAGTGGGCCCCGCTGCCGGCATCATCTGCATGCTTCCTGTTGCGGAAGCCAAGTGATTGAACAGTAAAATAGACAGAACAAAGAAAATAAATCAGATACCAAATTTACGTGGTTCAGTCATAGTGACTTACGTCCACGGGGAGAGCAGCAATGAATTCTACTATAGATCAAGCGATACAACGGAGATTACAATCATACTCGAGTCACTCACGCAGTGTCTAGGCCTACAATTCCTCACAAAATAATCTTTCAATATCACGAAAAAATTATACATAAATCTTACCACAAGATTTAATCGCTATAAATACTTGAATTCTTATTGTAATTCCATGAACAAAACCACGAACCTAATGCCAAGCACCCATCACCTATGGATGTCACTCACAATATTGAGCATCCCCGGCACTCTTGAGAAAAGCAACGCTTCTCTGTATGCTCAAAGAGAGCAGATCAGCCAATATATATACGTATGCCCAAGAAGTGAACGTACAGTGGCCGACTCCAGCTTGGAAAGGGATTCCATGCAATCCAAATGGAACGCGGTCGACAAAGTCAACTTTCTTCTTCTTCTCTTCTTTGACCGACTCATGAAATTTGCCACATGTCCATAATTTCCTTTCTTTCATGATCAGAAGCCCAACGTCCCTGGGGACTCCAAAGCGGAAATAAAATCGACCCCGACGTATAAAAGAAAGTTTCCGTATTTTGCGTTGCACTATTCCGAACTTGCACAGGAAGTCCAAATTTCGGACTTTCCTTTTCTATTTTCTTTGCTCACCAATTTGATATCAAAGCAAAATGAGAAATATCCAATTTGGAATATTCAAACTTCCACAAATAATAATTAATCTCGGGTTGGGTTTCGCCTATCGGGTTTCGCCCATCGGACTCAAACTCGAGACATATTTTAACACTTTCTTGTCTCGGCACTCATGCATGAGCTGATTTTCTACCACATGGGATGTAAGGAGCCAAGGTGGGTGGTCACCTCCTTCTTCCTCTAGCACAGCCTCCGCAAGCCGCCGAGATCGCCACCGCCACCAAGAAAGCAATTCGCAGGCAAATTCCTCCGGTCGAGGGCAGTGTTGGGACCAATGGCAATCAATTTCATCTCGACCTACCCAACGAAGGCTTTGTGGGAGCCCTCGCTCGTGCCCAAATTAGGCCGGCGAGGGCTTCCTGATCCTTGCCCGTCGCTGGAAGGGGTCACGCGGCCATCCGTGATTGCCCTCACTAGCCCCTTTCCAGGAAGTGAACAGGGAAAAGAAAAAAAAAAGAAAAGAAAAGAAAAGAAAACGGAACAAAAAGAAAAAAAATCATTACAAAATTTAAAATTTAAAAAATACAAATTTTGTCTACGCTAGCGCCGGCCGAACCACCTTGGAAATTCAGATTCCTCAGTAGAATGTATTCTCTTGAAGCTAGATTTGATCAAGTCCAATATGCTTTTTGATAATCTCACAAACCTCATATATGAATATCAGTACAAAATCTTCAAAAAGTATGTTGGACTGAATCTACGGACCACATTAGTGATTTCCGACTAATTTTAGCCAGAAGGATTACATTGGTATATCGTCAAAAGATTTATAATTAAATTGGCCAAATTAAAAAATTGAGGATTAAATTGGCATCCATTGAATAAGATTAGGATTTTTTTTGCGAATTTTCCCATGAATTTTCGAGAAGTCCTATTCTGACTAACCTTTCATATTGGGATCCTCTAAATTTAGGGGTAATTTTAAATTTTAAATTCTGTCTGCTCAGGAAGATACGTCCGCATACTAATTGAGGGCTAAGATCAGTCCACAACTCCCAAAAATGCTCTGCTTTATCAAAATAAAAGAAGATCATTTCTTCTTTGGGATAATGACACAAATGATTCCTTAACTTTCAATTTGTTTAATGTGGTGTTAGAGATTTTTAGGCTAATTCTGATGGTTTTTTATATCTTTCAAGATTGTGCGAACATCTTTCTTTGATTGTGCGTATCCTGATTGATATGTTATATTATTTATTCATTCCATAAAGCCTATAAATAGTCTGATGTAATCTTTTTATGATATATCGAAATATACTAAATTACTTTCTTCTACATATTTCTCTAATTTCTCAACTTGATATCAGAGTTAGTCGATGCTGAAGTGCACGCACTCGGTGTGCACCCAGTGCACACCCAAGTGCCCATCCAGAGCTAATTTTGCTTCTTCTTTTTTTCAATAAGTCCTAATATCCTCCGGTCAAATTGGATTTATGTTTTTTTATCGCATAGTCTGCAGAGCCCTCTCATATGAGGAAGCGCTTAGTCGAGTCCATGGTCGTGTTTCGATGCCAACTGCAACGGTCGCATTACCCAGTCAAGCCTTTCACGGAGGTGGTTTTTCTTTCGATGCCAGCCGCATAGGCCGTATCGCTCAGTAACTATTTTCCCAACCAGTTGTATAGGCCGTTTGATGCTACAACGCTAGCCGTATTGGCTGCATCGCTCAGTTACTGTTTCACAAGCTAGCCACATCGGCCGTTTGTTGTTCCCCTCCAATTCTTGACGTTTCGCGTGTCGTTTTGAGAAGCCACACCGCCACTAGACTCGCCACTCTCAGACTAGCTAGATGTGGAAGTTTTGCCATGAACAACTACCAAATGCCACCTCATCCGCCATGTATTAGCCGTTGGACACTGTTCATACTAGTATTCAAACTCAAGTTGACATATTCAATAGAGCTTGAGTGATTTTTAGGATAATTAATATGTCAAATCTTTCAAGTCCTTATTTTCCTCCTCAATTAATGCCTAGACCAGACTAGACGTGATTGGGAGTGTTAGAGTAATTAAATATTAAATCATGCATTCATCTAACAGCTTAAACTTTTAGAATACTGCAAGCGTGAGGAGGAATGTTAGAGTAATTAAATATTAAACCACGCATTCATCTAACAACTTAAGCTTTTAGAATAGTTGGCAGCGGTCTTACCAAAATCTCACATGTGGTTCCTAAGCTTCAGTCCAATGTATAATGTGGTTTCTACACTTTTAATTTGTTTAAAGTGATTCATAAACTTTTGGTACATGTTCAATATAGTCTCTGAACTATATAAAAATTATGGATGCGGTTGTATGTTTCAATATTTAAGACAATTGCTGAGAGTACGAGAGAGTTCAATCTAGGTCCGCCAATCTACAATTAATAATATTATTTGACGAGTGTGTTACTGTTGAAATAGTAGATGCGATCAAAAAAATGTCCGTTGAGGGAATAGATATCTGGGAAACGCGTATTCCACTCACAAGACCACCTCAATTTCTTGCCAGACTGTCTTAAGTATATCAATATACAATTTAACTTAAATTAATAAGTAAAAAGATCTCCAACCAACGCAAGTTGAACTGTTCTGAGTGGACCGTTTCTGACCTTAAATTGCACATCATCGTTTCAAATTTCACTGTTCAATTGAAACATGGGTTGAAATCAATCTACTCACTCTCCTTAGCATTTTGATTTTTCGTTCGCTGTCGATCTTTAAATTTGGTAGTAAAGGTGGCACCGTATAGATGCCGTCGAAACACGCACTCTCAACTTTTCTTTTTCGCGTGATGAAATGAAACAAATTCTGCTTAGCAATTCGATGGTTGAAAGAGGAGAGGCAAGGCAATCGGTAGAGATTGACCAGGAGTAGCTAATTAGGATTTTTCATATGAGCGTCGAAACGGAAAGTCGTTTTTGGAGGCCTATAAGGCCAATGAAAGCGTTATTCCTGAAAATAAAATCAAAGGAAGTTTCAGAAAAGAAATTACATAATTT